ACTTTTCACAAAATATATTCTCAAAATATCTCTACCAAATATCTCTTAAAAATATATTTTTTATCCAAATCAACTAGGATAAAAAATATTACATGAAACCGAAAGGAAAAAAATCCTCCTGTTTGTCTAGCGTTTATGACATGTTTGATACGTTTAATTAAATGCTACTTAAAAAGATAACAAAGAAATTCTTTAATAATTGTAGTATTATTTAAAATAATTGTAATTCCATTATTGTTGATTACTGTGGAAAATTATTTGGATAAATTAAATTAACCCACGTTTCTTGTAGTTTACTCAAGGGTCCGACTTCCGAGCTCATCTACGTCCAATTATCCAAAGTTTGAGGTCGAGCTAAATGTTTAGGTCAAGCCGTTTGAGGTCAATAGTATTTCAAACCTTCTAGACTTTGATTGCTACTCTCCATAGTCTTTATCTACATCCAAAAATCCAATTCAAACTCAAACATGGTACTTACAATATAACACAAATACTTTGCGTAACAAAGATAAGGATTATAGGTGGTTTAATTATTTTAAAACTCAACCACCAACATCTATAAATACAGTATCAAAGTTCATTATTCAAATACCTCTTTACATAGTCTTTAGCATATAACATTTCGCATGAATTCTCTCTCTAACTTAAACATCATAGGGACGAGAAAGACACACATCAACGTTTTTGCTTTAGTTATTGCAAGGTTTTAGTTTATTTATTGTTTATCTAGAAGAGTTCATAGTATAGAAGCCACTTTGCGGATGATTTGATTTGATTTGATTTTTGGATCTTTGACCTTAATCTATTTTGAAAGAGTATAATTTCTTTTGCCTTATCATATAAAATATACACTTACGGTTCAAACAAAACTACACGTCCATGCACGATAATTAACTCGTCGAATTCATCAGCATTTAATTAACTTGTCTGATTTTAGTATGCCAATTTTGTCCACTCAACAATTCGTGAAAATTCCAAGACTTTTGAATCACAAGTTTAAACCAACGTCCAATTGTGTTAAAAATCGATTTTTTTAGTAAATTTTGATAAAAGAAATCTCATGAAAATGTATGATTGAAATTAATCATTAACTTTGACTTATATTTATTAAATCTTTTTAGCTAAACAAACATGGAGTAGATGACAAAAGGTCAATTATTTATACTGCTCTAAAAGAGGTGAAAATTTTAACTTTAGTGTGACACTCCAGGCTTCTTGCTTGCGTGCCGCGTCCAATTGGAGTATAGCGTTCAAAGAAGCAAAATTCTCTTTGCTAAGTGCCTCATTGACCCTTTTGTGGATTGGAGAAGAGAAGAGTGGGTGAAATTATCTCTGCCAAATAGTCTTGCCTTTCTAGATAGTCGTCTCTCTAAGTGTCCAATTGGACTTTCAAACGTTTTATAAATTTGATGGGATGTGATGGAACGGGATGAAAACTGCGGGATCGAAGTGACTCCAAGAGAACATCTTAAAAATTAGTTTTATTAAAGGGTGGTTATTATATTCACATCAATTTTTTTTTTTTTTTAATAAATACACCATATTTTAGTTATATTAAGGTAATAACTTTATTCATTAACAAAATTATATCCTTCATTTTTTTCTTCATCACATTCTTATTTTTAACATTTCATTGATCATAAAATTTTGTCCTTAATTATAATTTTTATTCAAATGTAAAATGACATAAAAAAATTAGTCCACTCATTTGACATAAGCCCACTCATTTGACTGGTCACGATCTAAATTTAGTCTCTCTTTGTTATCGATTAAAATCAAATTTTTAGTATGTTTTGATAAAAAATAATGAAATGTGTAGTTGAAAAAAGTTGGGACC